AGCACCCTCCACCTAGCCTACCTGCTTCGTCTCTGACTTCAGCCCCGCCCTCCTCCCCCTAGTCCTCCTCCCCCGCCCTCCCTCCCTCCCTGCTGCCCCTAACCCCAACCAAGGGCCCACGGACCTCTGATCATCTCTCCACTCCACAGTGAGGTGCAGTACGTCGTGCTGCAGAACGTGGCCACTATGTCCATCAAGCGCCGGGTGAGTAAGCGGCCAAGGCCTGCTCTCATCCCCCGAAGAGCGAGCTGCTGGGGCACTAGGGTGCTGCCTGGGTGGGACCTTGGGGAATGGGAGGTGGAGAAAGGCCTGGATCTTGAAGGGCCGCTGAAGAGGAAAGATGGTCAGTGGTACCTGACAGGAAGTGAGTAGAAGATGATGAGGCAGGCAGGAGGCAGGCAGGACGTAGACCCTGCTGAGGAGGGATGAGTAGCTCTGGAATGGGGGTCGGTCGGGGCTGCCCCTAGGGTTGGACTGCCTTGGACTCTGGGTCTGCCTCTCTTGTGCAGGGCATGTTTGAGCCGTACCTGAAGAGCTTCTACATCAGGTCCACCGACCCCACCCAGATCAAGATCCTGAAGGTGAGTAATGGTCAGGCGAGCATGAAACTCTCAGGCTCTTCACCCGCTGCAGTGATTCACCGTCTGTTTTCCGGGTTGAGCCCTTGCCCAGCTCAGCCAGAATTGGTAGTTCAAGGAACCAAGGTAATGAGAACTGGGATGATGCCCTTTGCCTGGTACCTGTTGTACACCTGCCACCCTTTGCATATGAGTCCAGTTTTGTCAGAAGAATCCCATGAAGTCTTCATTGTCTCCATATGAAAACAATGTAGACTCAGGTCAGGTAACTGCAACTCCATGCTCTTTTCATTGGGGTCTTCTGCCCCCTACCCTGTGTTACCACCCCTCTCGTGCCCCTCAAGCTGTTATGGAGACCTACACCCACAGGACAAGGCTGCAGGAGCCTGTATCTCCAGTCCACTCCCCCTTTGTGTTCATATTCCTGGGTGGCCTTCATTCATCCTCCCAGCCCTTTCTGAGCATCCCCTGTTTCCTCACATTGCTAAGTCAAGGGGTGAAAGAGAGAAAGCAAAAAACAACAACCAGGAATCCTGCTCTTGTGGAGCTTATAGCCTAGTTGGGAGGAGGGGGAAGCATTAAGCAGCTTATCATAAAACAAAAATAAGTTGTGTGTTTTTTTTCAGGTTAAATGTATATTTATTTATTATACATCCAGTGTTATGAGGTTTACAGCACATAACTAAATTTACCCACTGAAAATATTCTGCAA